ATAAAAAAATATCTTACATGCAATCAATAAATTGGAAAGTTGCTCCGGGTTCTTTGTATCACCCTGGCAGCACAGAGGGAGGGTGATATAGTTTATTTATTTATCTAGTGTTAACCAGGAAAATGTTTAGGTGACAGAAATGCTGTTTGATTTCTAATATCTGAGAGAAAACCTTTCTTTATATGCTCCCAGAAATCAGTGTTTTGTTGTTGTTTATTTGTTTTTTTTACCATGCTGACGTCCATGAAATGGTAATAAATGACCCTTTCCTCATTAGTAATTATGAATTACTTCAGAGCATTAGTGTGACATAAGACAGTATCATAATATAACTCTAAAGGCATCATTTAATGCTGCTCTGGGGCTACCACTCAAACTCATGAAGATTAATGTTTTATGTAAAAAATGGTTAGTAGAAAATTATTTATCCCCTTATCTTTGGCATTGAGCTCCCAGTCTTTGGAGTTGGCAGGTCTTCTTGTTATAATCCTCATCTTTAAGTCTTTTTGTGAATGAAAGTTTTATGCTAGGGGGCGGCTTCAAAACATTATATTTCTTCCAGTAATATAACACATTATTAAAATTCAGTGATTATTTCAAATCCAAATCTTCCAGGGGTATAAATAATTATGAACGTAACTTTAGATTTACAAACAGACTGAAGTATTGTAGGTCTTCTTAAGAATTTAAATGTCCAATATAATGATTGAAGAGACGAGTGACTCTGCAAACGTCCTCTTATGCTACGTTCAGCCCGCAAGCATGGAAGCAGCAAAAAAAAGCTTCTGCTGCTTCTCTTTTGATGCTTGTTCACATTAAGATCCTACGCGCCTCAAGTGCATCTACAACACTCCTAAAGCTCGTCCATAAAAATGTATACTGATGCGTCTGATGCTTCTCCTGCTCCTGTGTTCAATGGCAGAGAGTGGCTTTGCTATATTTGCTGTGATCAGTGGGTAAAAAGTAGTTTTTAACATAAAGTATGTTTTTAACTGGGATAGTCCACCTGAAAACATGGTCTGTTCAGTCAGTTCATCCAGATTACCATCCTGCCTTCAAAGATTAGCCACTCAGACCCCCACATACCGGCGGTGCGCTGTCACTGGGAATCCCCAGCAGCAGCTGCCTCAGGAAGTCACTTGGAGGTTTTCTGCTACTGTTGGTGGTGGCTGGAAATAGATGTTAGGGTTTTTCATGTACGTAATCCAAACTGCAAGCAGAATAATAAAAGTGAACATAGAGGTCACACCATGTGTGATGTGATACCTTATACTGTCACAAGTACATAGCAATGAGATTGACTCTGCATTTAACACATCCCCTTGGGGAGCAGTGGGTTGCCATTGTGCAGCACCTGGGGAGCAGTGTGGGGTTAAGGCTCTTTGCTCAGGGACCAAGAGATGCAGTGGGAGTGGGGCTTGAACTCACAACCTCAGGATTTTAAGCTCTAATCCCTAACCACTAGAATGCCACTTCCCCATCCAGCTGAATGTTAGGGTTTTTACATTGCATCCAGAGGAAGAGAGAGGAAAAGGATTTTCTTATTGTAATTAAAGATGCCTATGGTAAGGATTCAGAATGTGATATATGAGGTGGGCAGTGTTGTACAGGAATACAAACACTGAATACAAACATATTTTTTGAGAACGGTGAACTGAACGGATCACTTTGAAGTAATGAAAGTGAACGGGAGTGACATTGACTCTGAGAAGAATGAGACACAGCTTATGTTGGCTTCAATTGATAAAAACACTTTTCATTGGATAAGGTCAGGTTTTATGACACTTATTACAGCAAACAGCCTGACAGAGCAGCATGTCTACTGCTGGTTCTAGTCTGCTCCATTCAGACTCATCTGCTGGGATTTCTGATGCCAGTTTAGTAGAGAGCCTGGCAGAGTTTAATCAACCAACAAAAGAAGACGAAAAAAAACATGTCTTGCATAAATTTTGTGTAAACTGTGCTAATCAGGACTTAACAAACCAGGGAGTGTTAGCCTAGTGGTAAGAGCAGTGTGCTTGTGCTCTGAGAAGGTTGCAAGTACCTGGTTCAATCCCCACAGCCTCCACTCTGGGTTCCTGAGCAAGACCCTTAACCCCACACTGCTCGGTGGGTGCCGCACAATGGCAGCCTACTGCTCCCCAAGGCCACGAGGAGGTGCATTTCCAGTGTGAGATCAATAAAGTTAAATTATTATTATTCAACAAGGCCATACGTCAGCAACATCTACTTCAAATTTAAAGTGAAACATGGAATTAAATCATCCGAGCTATCTTGTTAAATATCCCCTACTGTATGAGGAAAGGAAGGAATCATTTTGGATCCAGATCTTTTCAGCAGAACCTGAATGTCCCAGTTTCTTTCTGAAGTTCTATGTAATTTGGCTAAAAAAAGGCTTCACTTCACATCCAGTAAACCTTGACTGCATCCAGTATTTTCCATTTCTTTCTATATATTATCATCACACATTTAAAGGGGGAAATATGAGGTTCTACTGTGGAGGATTGTGCTTTATTTAACAAATGAACTTGAACTGGTTCATTTCCAGGTTGGTCAACTTAGTTCATTTTGGAAAACTGAACTATAAACGTGAGGTAGTTCATTTTCATCTGTGTGAACTGATTTTTGAGCTTGTTCCCTTCATTTATGAAGTGGCATATTGCAGGGTGATACCCTCAGTGAAGCATTTACAAAACACTTCATTAGAATCAACTGTATTCATTTGGCTTTAATGAGAGATTAAAGCCAGATTATGCAATTCAATGTGTAAATTAAGCAAACTTTTAAAAATCCATCATCCTTTATTTTAAAGGAAAAGTCCGCTCATATTCAGAATTCAAACTTCTGAAAGTACTTTAAATATAAAATTATTAGACACTGTTCAATAAATAATAATTGTTTTTAATTCAGAGTAATTTTCACGTGAATGTGCTTTACTGGAGGCATCCATGTTTGTCAAAGCACACTACTGCCACCTACTGGTTTGTGACGTCACGGTGCGGTATTGGCTGTTGATCAAGTCCCAGTGCTGTATCTGGTGTTTGTCACAACGCGCTATTATCCAAGTCATCTTGAAAACATTCTTCTTCCAAATGTTGGCTACATATTACGGGTTTTTTCTCTGGCCAGAAGTTCGATGGCAAATCCTCCCTCTTCAAGTTGGCGATCCAACGACCAACCCGTCCGTGGAGGATCAGGAATCAGAAAGGTGAAATAACCCTTTTTTTTCACTTTTACCCGATGTATTCCAGCATCCAGCTGCCATGCACGTGGGCATTGTCAGTTTCACTATAGCTCTGGTGAATTTCAATGGTGAAGTCCTCTGGAAATCTTCAATAATTGTTGTTGATTGCAGATGTGTCTAGTAGTTCCCATTGATTTTGCTTGTAAAGCGGGGAGAATGGGGCTAGGCCGTGACATCAATGCTGGAGATGTTACTATATCTGGGCAAAAATGGCCGCTCCCAGACTTGTGACGAAAATTACTACTTTTATTTTTTTACTGATTAATGCTAAATTCATTAAATCACCGCAAACGTATTAGTTTTAGGTATAAATAATGAGATCCATTGGTTATTCCTTGCTGACCGGACTTTTCCTTTAAATGAACAAACAAATGTGTATATGAAAATAACCCATCAAGACTCTTTGTGTGGCTTGTTTGTGGTTTTTATTATTACATTAGGGAGGTGGTATTTAAAAGACATGTTTGTCTTCATTCTTTCCATTTACTGGAGTAAATTCCTCTGTGAAAAGTTTACTTTCTTTGAAAGCTCTTGGAGCATCACAGGCATAATTTTATTCACCAATAATTCCAGAGTGGAGTTAGAGATGTCAGAGGCCAATATCTCCAGACGTAAGCACATAAAATTTGAATCATGTGTCTGGCATGCAGACGAGATAATATGTGCTTTTGTAATTTGGGCAACTCGAAACTTTAACTGCTGTGAGAGTACAATGAATCACTGGAATACCCAAAGAAAAGGAGCGTGTCTCTTACTTTAAAGTCACAGCCTACTCTGGGGAAATATGAATGTAAATATAAATCGACTTTCCTTTCTCATACTTTCACAAACCCCAAAATAATGAATTTAAAACAAATTCTAAGATTTGCCACACCCTAGAAATAATATGCTGGATGAGAACTTTTGTGCTTTCATTCTTTGTTTTGCAAAATTTCATTTACAGCAGAAACAAATTGTTGCAGACCTTCCCCACCCTGCAGGTCCCCATGCAGAGATCAGGCTGGAGTTGTTATTAAAACCCAGTCCACCCCCGCTGTTCGAGGAGTGAACAGACTGCTGAATACCACTACTGTGGAACTGATTTTATTTATTCATTTTTGTTTACTATAGCAAACCTTTGTACAATCTGATCCTTAAATGTTTAGATCGGTCAATGTCATTTACTTTTGTCTTGTAAAATTAAATTATATCTCTGATGCTTTAAGTGTGTAAGGAGCTCAGATGTATTTAAACCCAATTCTAGCAGGTATTGTTTATAGCACGTCATCTAAAAGCATTTTCCATTGTATATTTAGTCAAATATTAAATAGACTTAATGCATGGAATGTTTAATAACAAAATAAATAAGCAGCCTCTTAAAACATGCCGTCCAGCTGCAGCTGATTCCACTGTAAGCAGAGTAGCAACTAAATTTTGTTAGACGCCTTCCAAGGATTCAAACTCTGCATCAATTCTGCGTGTTTTTGTATTTCTCTTTCCAACAATAGAGTCTTTTCAAAATGTCCACACCCATAATGAATACTTACTGGTGATATGAGTATTTGAATTTAAATTGTGTTTTATGTTAAAATGCAAGCACATAAACAACTCCTTGTATATAATATGTTGAATGTTTTATGTGTGCAGATTCAATAATATTGTCTCTCAATATCCAAACATGAGTTCATGCTCATTTTAGGAGCTCATGGTTGTTATAATTGGTTTAAGCAATCTGACCCACATACGAGAACCACTCAGAGACCAAGGGACAAAGTTTAACAGGTTTAATTGAATGTGGCTGAAACACAAAAGTAGGAGCTGGAACTCAGTGGACTGGTAAACCGGAACCGGAAAGTCTGAAGGAGAAGTCACAGTGATCAGTTCAGGGACCGTAGGAAAATTGGCTTGAATATAGCTGGAGAGAAACTCACATTTGAGGGGGCTCTTGTTAATCCTTGAATCCAGTTTGTGGGGAATTAATCCAGAGGATAGAGAACTCGTTGGATAGCGGACAGGTAGACATATGTTAGACCCAGAGGAGTAAAGGAGCGGACTGTCACTTGGTTTTCCGATGAGGACTTGAACGGATCATGTGGAAGTTTACCCCTGCTCAGTGTGTACTCAGTAATCCTTCCAGGAGAAGAAGGTCCAGGTTTTCCAGTTACACAGCAAAGGCTTCCTGCCAAAGAGCAAAGACAAAAACAAGATTAGACTCAGAGAAACAAAGCTTCGGTTAGACTCTGCTAATCTCAGCTTGGCTAGAGTACCCAAAACTGGCAAACACTCTGGCGTCAAGGTAGTGGCAGCCTGCTGCTCAAATACTCCTCTGGTAATCATCCGAGCCACAGGTGTGCAGGGAGGCCCAACGAGGAACAGGGCACCACCTGGTGGTGGAGAGAGAAAAAACACAAAAAACAACCCACACAAACTGGATTCCTAACAATGTTTTGCTTTTTATGCATCTGTGTGGATCTGTCCCGCCGAGCAAAAACTGGTTGAAAAGACATTGAAAAGACGATATGGTTTATGTCCGAACAACGTCTTTTCAAGGTCTATAATTGGACTAAAGTAGGACAAAATCAGACTGACCAAACACAGCCTAGTTTTTAACAGCTGTTTCTAGACTAAATCCTGACTGTGACGAACTGAACAGATTTATCCTGCATGCTCATGTCAACTCTTGGCACTTTGAGGGTGGTAACCTCTGGAAAAAGTAAAGTGACTGTGATTGGCTACTTTTCATGAAGCCCCGCCTCTTTAGACTGTTGTGGTTATGGCTAATAACAATGGAAGCATTTTCAGGCTAACCGGAAATACCTAAAGCTAACAAGGTCAGTTTTTGTGGGGCTTTTTAAGCTGCATCATACAGTTTTCTGCCTAGTCTTAAAATGCAAATGAGGTTTTTTTAAACCTCCACAAACTGGAGGTGGGTGGGATTCAGCCATGACACGTTCATTCAGGCATATTTTAGTCTGATATTCAAGAGAGAATATAAGAGTTAAAGAAATTATAAACCTGGCCTGCCCACCCAGCACTGTCACTCCACACACAAACAACTGCGCTGCTCAGACACCGGAGAGAGAGAGAGACCATCGGAGCAGAAAATACAATAAATAAAAACAACGGCAATGTATGGTTTGTAAAAAGCTGGTTAAATGCAATTTAAAAAGCGCATGAAAAACCATGAGCAAGAAAACACTGAGCTACAGAAACGGAGAGAGGAGACGAAACTTCGCTCATTGCCCCGACAGACCCTCAGTCAGTTTCAGACCTCCAGAGAATATCCAGGTAGATAAGAGTGATCACCTTCAGAAGCACTTCATATTAAAGGTATAGTGGAGACACGCTCTCTCCGCTTTCAAAGAAATGCACATGCATAACCCTGTACCCCCTCCCGAGAAGCAACGCCTATTGAACATAGCGTTAACAAGCCCATTTCTTTTTGCGCATGCTCTGTTTGATGTTGCTTTTTGCATCGCTCATGCAAACTTACTTTCCAAAAGAACATTTGCGATTTTTCCACTACGTCAGACTCACCATCGGTATTATTACCATTTATTTTGATGATCCACCCAGAAAAAGAACATTCTCAACTATACCTTTACCTTTCAAAGTAGATCTTAAATGTCATATGTTACTGTAGCCCACTCAGAAAGTGTAATTAAGACCTTGAAAGAACCCAGTACATTTATCCCATCAAAACGTGCACGTCCAAGTGGTCTAACATTTACCAATACGTTATTTATCCGACATGTGGAAATTTATAGAATCAAAGCAACAGGCAGGTGCACACAATACAAACAAAATGACATACGGGTTGAAGATATACTATAAGAGGTCGATAAGGAAGAACACACTATTAACATTACATTATTAATACTGTTATTATTCGACTGTAAAATAAAATAAAAATTAGAGAAAAACAGAAATTTCAACAGTTCCATTAAACATCAAGCTTAAATGTAAAAAGTATCAGTATCGTATCGATATCGGTGATACTGAACCTGTATTTGCTTGGTATCGTATCGATTGAAAATCGCCCACTACTATATGTGATCAGCTAACACATCTATGAAAATGTTATTTTCTATTTGTCTGGAGATTACTGCTTTGCTGTGCCTGATATTTCCGTAGAGAAGGGGACTGCTCCTCCATCCAACAGAGTGTTTCTCCTATGAAGCATTAGTCCCCTTCATTTAAACTGATTTATGAATGGAATCTGAGGGGTGGTGTGAAGACCTTTGAAGATTGTTACACTCTAAAACCTCACAATTTGATTCATCTTTGTTGTTTCAGCTTCCTTCAACTTCAACAGCAATAATAATGCTAGAAAACTAATTGGTCGGATCGGTCATCCAGAATTCCATCACCTTGTTCAGCAGTTTCACAGGAAATGCTGTGTATAGATATTAATATTGTAATAAATATTGAAATGTAATAGAGAATGGAGAAAACCCAAAAGAACTGAAAGATATCACCCAAACAGTGTTTGAAAACATCAACTTAAACCTACAGTCACTGTATAATTCTTTATTTCTACCCTTTGATGCAAATGTAATCTTCACAATCCACGTTAATCTCACTCTGCTAGTAAGATAACATCCTGGACTTTCTACCAAAGTCAGGTTTGATGAGGTTTAGCTAAAGGAGCACATGCCTTTTTTGAATGGAGAAAATCCCTGGATCCCCGTGCCAGTAGGGAGGGGAGGGATTTATTATCAATTGAAATTATAATCTGTTGCTAATGCTTATGTTCCTTCTTAAATGTAAGAAATGTAAAATAATCCTAACTGTCAAGATAAAATTGTCATCCAGTGTCCTCCACTGTTTTTAAGCAATGTCTCTACCTGCCTCAGAGGCCTGATTGAGGCAAAATAGGTTTTTCCAACATTTACGTATATAAAGGGAGTCAAATGATGAGGATGAAGGCCAAATAGAGCAGGAAGGAGAAACCTTACAGGACAATAAAAACGCTTTTTAAGAGCCTGAACAGGAGCAAAGTACAGAGTTTCATCAGCCAATATGAATGACAAGAAATATATTAATGAGTGCTGCATAATTAATTGATATTGTATCTGCAAAAAGTAAATAATGATTCTTTTAATTACATACAAAGTAAGCTCTTCAGGGCTAAGTATAGTCCTGCTTCTATATGTCATGACCAAGGATGGGCTGTACATAGTTAGTTTGTACATAGTTAGGTAATTCCTTTAACAATCCTGTTCGTCAGTACCAGAGTAAATTAATCTCTCTGGACTGGAAGTGTTACTACTTTCTAGTTGTAATGCTAGTGCTGCTGTTAGATTTTGAGGTTTAAATAGGCAGAAAATGTGGTGATCTGTTGCTGGGAATGTTTAGGAAGCCAATAGATGAAAAGTCCTCTAAACCTTGAGAGATTTTTAATCTTGATAAAAACCTTGGATCTGTTGAAAATGAAAGGTTATGTGATAAGAACTATCGTGAAGAACAAAATAGTCAAGGACAAATATGAAATGATAGGCAGGTAGATGCAAGGATTGTTCATCAGAATGACGTACCATGTTAAGCTCAGAACTACTGCTGTAGCTCAGTACAACTAGTATTTAACAAAAGCTGCATTAATAAGACCATTTCCTATATCATATGTGTTTATCTGAAAGCTTTATTGCAAAGTAGGGTTTTAGACACACAAAGGTTTACTTTTCCTGATTCTACATACAGAGAAGCAAAAATACATTTGATATGAATAACTTCAAACCATATGAGAATTTGCAATAAAGAAATGCAAGATATAGGAATGTTATTAGAATAGAGGAGAATAAGGCAGCTGGTTGCCAAGGAAGAGGAACATGGCAGAAAATAAAAATGTGGGAGATTGTTTAATTTAATTTGAACTAAGTTACAGGCCTTTGTCCTGCTAGGAATGTTGTGTTGTTTTAACTTCAAACAGGGAGAGCAAGTCTTCCAGGAAGGTCCTGGTCTTATCCAGCTATGCTGTTGCCGGTCAGTGATAACCACTGGCAATTAACCTGCACCCACTTTTTGTATGTGTAAACTTCTGCCCCCTCCTGTTACTCCTTTAAACGTCCCAGCAGAGATGACCACAGACGTTCAGGGAGTGAAAATTCTCTGTCTAAGAATTCTCTCCTCTTCTGCAGCAAAGTTACTTTTTTTGTGTGTTGGTTATGTGTAGTACAATAAGGGGTTATTGTTGTTTAATCCTGAGAGAGATAAAATTATCTAGTACAAAAAAAAAAGCTTTGATGTTGCACAATAAGTGCTAAACACATTTTTTTTCTTGTGGATTTTACAAGAAAAGAAGGACACAGCAAAACAAAATGTTTGTTTTTAAAATATTTCAGCAATGGCTCTTTTTTTCAACTGATTTTTTTTAGAGGCCAAATAAACTGAACTTTTCAGCATATGTTGGGAAAGAAGGAATCAAATCTACAACCTTCCAGGACCAGACAACTAAACTTCCAACAAATCTACGGTGTGCCAAAACAATTTTTTTAGGGCCTTTGAAAAATGTTTACTTTTGCAAGTAATTTCCTGAACTTGTCATGAGTTTTTGGTTTGAATGTGTGTGGCTACGTGTTTTTGAATGACTGCCTTTACTGTCAGTGCATCCCATCATCCTACAGTGTAATTTACTATTCTATATCTCTCCAACGAAACAAAAAAATCTTCCTCAGCATGACCACACACAGCGAAAAAACAGCATTTCAAACTAAGTGATATAAATGACATAAGGAAAAGAGGAAATTTGGAAGTCATAACCTCCTGTTGCAATATGAGAATGATCCTATGATGGGGGAGCGAGGGGGCTTTGGGGGTATGAATTGAGTTCCTGCATAGCTGAGGGGTAGAAGCTGTTTTCCAGGCTGGGACTGTGACATCTGATGGCTTTGCGGCGTCTTCCAGAGGGCAGTGATGTAAATATGCGGTGGCATGGATCTGTAGTGTCCTTCACAACCCTACAGGCTCTGCTGCAACAGCCTGAAGTGTCGACATCTTCCAGGGAAAACAGACGAAGAACAATGATTTTTTTTTTTTTGCTGATTTAATTACTCTCTGGAGAGCTGCATTTTTTTGGGCAATATAGTAAAACATAAAGTACAGCATCCCAGTACTACTAAAAGCTGCTAGATATCATTTAATGATAAAAGGGGAGAAGTGCTTATGAAAGCCTGTCGTAATGATCCCATTAAGGGAAAGCAACACAGAACAGAGCCAGCCTCAGATGGAAAGACAAGAGGAAGAGAGACACAGCAACTTGGAATACAGATCTTACAAATATATAGACCTAGAATGGTAAAATGTATAGGC